AAATGCGCTTCACAATTTGAAAATGACCCACAGTAGGTTGATGCATGAATTGACAGACAAAATTGACAGCATATGAAATATCCGGCAGTGTAATCGTGAGATATTGAAGAGCTCCGACGATACTTCGATATAGCGTAGGATCCGAAAATAATATTGCATCTGAACTAGATTGAGAACTAGCAGCCATAGGTGTGGAAACTGGTTTGCAGCCCTCCATTTGTGCACGTTTGAGAATTGACAAAGCATATTGTTGTTGGCACAAATAAGGGCCACCAGAGAATACCCTAACCTCCACACCTAGAAAATAGTGTAACGTCCCCATATCCTTCGTAGCGAATTCGCTACTCAGTGTAGAGATGAACTTATCAAGTAATTTTGGATCATCACCGGTAACAATCATGTCATCTACATATAAAAGCAGAGCTAGAATGCCATGAGTTGATTTTTGAATAAATAAAGAAGGATCCGCAATGCTGCAAAAGAAACCGGATGCCAAAAGAAATGAGCTAAAGCGATCAAACCATGCTCTTGGTGCTTGCTTGAGACCATATAAAGCTCTCTCCAGTTTGCAGACATAAGAAGGGTGATTTTTGTCTTCAAAACCTGGCAGTTGCTCCATATAAACAGGTTGCGATAGAAAACCATGTAAGAAGGCATTTTTAACGTCTAATTGTTTGATGGGCCAACATTTAACGGTAGAAATGGTGAGGACCGTTCTTATACTTCCTGGTCGAACAACTGGTGAGAAAGTCTCAAGGAAATCTACTCCTGCTACTTGAGTATATCCCTTGGCGAGCAATCTTGCTTTTAATCTTTCTAATGTCCCATCGGCCTTTAACTTAGACTTAAAAACCCATCTACATCCCACAACATTAGTATTTGAAGGATGTGAAACAAGAGTCCAAGTTTTATTCCGATGTAGTGCCTTGAGTTCCTCTTTCATTGCTGCCGACCACCCTGGATGCTTCAAAGCATAACGTACATTGTTCGGCTCCTTCGGTATAGAATCCATCATATGTAAATTGGCATATTTTGGATTAGGCTTCACAATACCAGCACGTGCTCGAGTAATCATTGAATGATTTTGAGTGGATGAATGTGCTATTGAAGAATCATGAAGGACATCCATAGAGGAATCTTCATTTTCCAAATTGCATGGAGAACCAAGCGGAGCACTCGATGAGTCACCAATTTCAACATGATTTTGATGAACATGTGTTTCACCTTCCTCAATGTTGTCTTCGTGAGAACTATCATTGGTAGCAGAATTTAATAAGTCATCATGCGGTTGATCAGAGTTAACAGACAACGCACCTTGTTGCAAGTACAAAGGTGAAATATCTGAGTCTAATGTTGTCGTGTCATGATTTGGCCAGCTTATAAATAAATTCAGATATCTCTACTTTATCACTTTGATCCCGAAATAATGAGCTGGGCACGATATAAGGAAATACTGTCTCATAAAAAAACGACGTGTTGTGATATATAGATTCGACCAGTTGGAGGATAGAGACATCGATATCCCTTATGGCGATCACTATAGCCGAGAAACACGCATGGCAATAACCGAGCATCGAACTTATTTTTGGTGTAGTCCCTAAGATAAGGAAAGCACCTACAACCATGCAAAAACTAGCAAAGAATTATAATCTGGTTTTCTGCCAAATAAAAATTCATAGGGTGATTTCATGCCCAACACCCTTGTAGGAAGCCGATTCAAGAGAAAAAACTGTCGTTTGGAAGCCTTCGACCCAATATTTTTTAGGAATTCCACTTTGATGAAGTATAGTCAAGCCAATTTCACATATGTGCCTATGCTTTCGGTCGGCAACTCCATTCTACTCTGGAGTATTTGGGCAAGATACTTGATTAATAATGCCATTCTTTTGTAAATGAATTAAGAAATCTGCTCGATTGAACTCTCCTCCTCCATCAGATTGAAAGATTTTAATATGCCCTCCAAATTGCCTTTCCAAATATTTCTCAAAATTGAGAAAACATGCATAAAAGTCAGATTTTTGCCGCAATGGAAACAACCAAGTATATCGCGTATAATCATCCACAAAGCAAACATAATACTGAAATCTTTGAAATGAGATTATTGGAGCCTTTCCCCACAAATCACAATGTATCTTTTCAAAAGGCTTAGTAGTACTAGATTTGGAAGGCAAAAAAGGAAGTTTAGATGCTCGACCCATTTGACAACTACTACATATCGCAGTAGGTTTATTCCAAGCAGTAACAATAATATCGCCTTTATTTTGCAGATGACGGATTGTCGTTGGTTGTGGATGTCCCAACCTTTGATGCCATGTGCTTTCATCAGCTTTTCTGAACCGATTCGAAAATAGTGCTTCTTTTGGCGCCTTCAAGGTATATAGATCACCTTCACGATTTCCAGCTGTTAGAACCTTTCCCGTTTTCCTGTCCTTTATCACAAAACCAGTTGCAGAGAACTCAAAATTTAGAGGATAGTCAGTTATAAATTAGCTCACTGATAATAAATTCTTTTTCATATGAGGAACAAGTAGAACATTTTTTAAGTCAATGCTATTTTGCCCCAAATTGATCTGAGCATCACCGGTATGGGAAATTTTAAGCGAATCACCATTTCCAACCATAACGCTATCTTTCCTAATATATGGTCGTAAGTTGAAAAGGTTGCCTTCATCTCCGGTCATGTGATTTGAAGCTCCAGTATCAGTGAATCATTCTGAATCCTGACTATCTCCAACAGTAAGCGCAGCGAATGCCTTTGGCACATCCGATGGAAGGAAAGATTGATTAAATCGATTAAAGCAATCTAAAGCAACGTGTCCCTGCTTGTTACATATTCTATTCCTTTCACAAGCTTCTCGATCTTGCTTTGATTAAATTGTGGCTTGTGACCCTGCGATTGCACAAAATCAGCCCGGGAATTTTTCATTGTTGGACCATTGTGAGAAAACCCTCTTCCATGTGAAGAAAATAATTGTTGGAATGTTGGAATTGTTTGCCCTTCTTGATGCTCTTAAAATTATTGCTTTGACCAAAGAAAGCCGTCCCGTGTTGAATTACAAGGAAACTTTTATTTGTGAGCCGACTCTCAAAACTTTGCAGTTGCGAAACCAGGTCAGAGAATATCGGCATTGGAGGCTTCAACATGGAGGTTGTGAATGAATCATATTGATCACCTAAGCCATTCAAAACAAAGAGACCTTCTTTTTGTCCTCAAGGGGACATCCAATAGCAGATAACTCATTAAAATATTTTTGAAAAGCACCAAGATACTTGTGAAGAGATGAGAAATTATCTTTATGACATTTTTGAATTTGTAGAAAAATTGAAACTTCACGTTCCTCAGATACCTTAGCAAAAATATTTTGTAAAGCTAACCACACCTCAGCAGATATCTTCAAGTCTACTACTTGAGCAAGAACTTCTTCGGAAAGCATCGCAATGATCCATCCCCGCAGAAAGCGATCTGACCTTCTCCATTGTAAAAAATCTGGATTTGCCACTTCCTCCGAGACTCTAGCTTCTTTTCCAGAATCAAAGGGGGTGGCTATTGTCGGACTCGGCATCTGGTACTCGCCATCAATGAATCCTACCAGATCTTGACTTTCAATTAGTGCAAGCAACTGGGCTCTCCAATAAGAATAGTTTGTTTGTGTCAGTTTCAGTGACACAAAATTGCTAATGTTCAAAGATGAGGGATATGGATACTTAGGATTAGTGGAAGCCATGGTTAAGGATCGATTTCTTTTGAAGATATGCTCTGATACCATAAAAGAACAAAGGAGTTTGATTCTTGATCTCAACGTACCATTGTTGAGATGATTTCCATTATATATAGATATTGCAAATGTTACACTTCGTAAGGAAATAATACAACAATGGAAAATAATAAATGAAAATATCATTATATTACAAGAGTTGTCAATCACTTGATTCTAACATCTTCATGAATCATCTCATGATTTTGATTGATATCTCTAGAATCTCCATATTCTTCTTCCTTGATTGATAAATCAGTGCCTTTAGTATGTCCCTCAATTCACATGTTCTTATCGATTACGCATGTTTCGATAAAGAAAAAGGCCGTTTGAAATGCAAGGTCCTTGTTACTTTTTTGGATCAGTGGTTTCCCTTTTGTATTCCTCTTTCCTCTATTTTTATTGGGGTAGGTACTCCAGCTACAATGCTTGTGGAGAAAAAAATGTAATCTGGGCTGCACATTTGTTTGTTTGATCTTGTTGCTGTTGGCCTGGTGTTTTTGGTTAGGAAATTGTTTCGCATGTCTATGAATGACATAGAGTATACGTCTTCAGTATTGAATCCAAGTTTTTAGTTTTGAACTGCTGGTTGAGATGAATTCAAAGAAAAAGGAGAAGTCGATATAAAGTAGATGCGTTGTCTGCGCCATGTAAAATTAATTATTAGAGTATCTCTTGTTACGATCAATCTGAGTATGGGTTTCCCCAAATTTCTGCTAATTATTTGAAACTAATTGAAACTCAATAGATTGCAAATAGAAAACTGAAGCCATTGGCTACTCTAAAATTCTAGTTAACCATGTGAGTTATATGGGCAGTTAATTCTGTGCATGAGTGCATTTTGTATATCTTTTTCCACAGTAGGAGTAAATTGTTTCAATGGCTGAGATGTGATGAGTAATGGAGCATTGATGATAAGCTAATACATTTTGAGGTAAATGATGGCAGTGGCACTTTATGATAAAAGTGATAATGGCAGCCATACTACTGAAAACTTTCAGCTGAAAGGCTCATTCCATGCTTCAAATTTTCAGGCACCATGGACATAATTTTAATTGTACTACTCATAAAAGAAGTAAAGAAATTTAGCAGATGATGACACCGACAGAGAGAGTGAGAGAAACCGGTGATATATTGAAATTCAATGCTATTTGGTGATGTCCCAGTGCTATTTTGTTACGTCATCTTCCAAGAATGAATTTTCCTCTTTTTTTTTTGTTGATGTCGTTCTTGAGTTTGAATTTGAACCTTAGAACTGGACAGAGAGATAGAAGGATCTACCTTACAATGTTTTGCACGAGTTCGCTGTATTTGTCTCGTATATATGTTTATTACAATTTCTAGCTGCTCTTTTTCTGCATGACTTCTGATTAAGTACAAGTCTGGAAAAGTTGTGACGTGGACCATTTACATGAGATGATTTAGTGATTTTTGTCAATCTTTCCATTTTAAAGAAGCTGCTGCAAGGGAGACGCTGGAGCAAGTTATGGCAGATGCTCTAGCTAAATCTGGTTCTCATCGATCAGCTGTCCGGGCTGTTTGTCTAGCCGTGGCTGGTGTTAACCATCCAACTGATCAGCAGAGAATAGTAAATTGGCTCAGGTCTACTCTAGCAGTACATCGTTTGATTACTAATTTATAAACTGTTCAGGAGAAGGTTTATTTTGTTGCACAGATTTCATTTAGCTCCACAGTGATGGGTATTAAATGAATGCCTGACATTGTAAGATTCCTCATATTATTTGTGATAAATATAAATGCACTTAACCGAGAAAAGAAGGAACCTTAATGCATGATTTCTGTCCTGTCTAGGATTTCTTTCTTGAATTTATAAATACGGGGAAGCTAAGAAACTTCTTGGTTTGTTCTATTCTACTCTTTATTCAATGTTTTAGAAGTTGCTGCATGCAAAATGTTGTTTTTTCTAATTGTATAAAGTGTTGTACTTCCAAGATCGGTTTTTCTATTTTCAATAACTATTAGCAGAAAATGCCTTATACATTGCACTATCCCGTGCCGAAATTTCCTATCATACCTTTTCAATTTCCAAAGCTTCATTACCCGGGGCAGTCATATAGTTGTCTGATTTCTGTAGAAAGAAATATTATACAGCAAACAAGAATGCAAAGATTCCGACGAAATTCTTTTTGTCAACACTTTAATTTATCGTACCTGTGTCTTGTGCTTTGAAACCATTAAGAAAGAGAGGAGTTTCTTAAGACCTGAATAAAGAAACAAAAGGAGAAAAAAAAAAAAAAAACAGACACGAAGAGAGGAATGAAAGAGTTTCAACACAGATTGTGATTTGTGAATGCTCAAATACAGTAGAGAGATCTTGTGACTCTGTTTGTTATCTTAAGAATCCGTAATTTCTTCTGTCCAAAAATGAGACATATTGTAGAAACTAGGTGGCTCTCTTTTAGTTGATTTAAGTGCACAAGTTCTCTCACTGAGTGGTGAACTTGCATATGGCTACTTCAAATTTCATAACATTTTTAACATTATTTTACACTTGTTAATAGGGTCTAATTATTTGCAGGGAGATATTCCCGAGCTATGTTAGGCTCTATGTTCAAAATGATGCCGTTGCAGCTCTGGCGAGTGGAACCCTGGGAAAACTTCATGGATGTGTTTTAATTGCCGGTACTGGCACCATCGCTTATGGATTTACAGAAGATGGAAGAGAAGCTCGGGCTGCTGATGCAGGACCGATCTTAGGCGATTGGGGAAGGTACATGCATCATTTTCTCCAATTTCAATTCCACAGGGCTAAAAGTTTGCTCTAAATTTCCAATGTATTTCCTACATGCATACTACGGGCGTTCTTTTTAAGGATAAGCAATTATGGCCTTTGACTAAATTTAGAGTTAATGGTTGTCATGTTCCTTTATCGCCCTTAAGGTGTGCCTCATTATTATAGTTTAGTAGTTTGATTTTCTAAGGGGTAATGACATAGGTGGTCATTAAACTTTTTTTTAATGTTTAATGTGATCCCTGAGCTTTTTTTTTTTTTTTCAATCTGATCACTAAATTTTCAAAAAAGTTATGTGGATGTAGTCCTTCCGCTAAGTGTATTGTCATATTACGTGCATTTTTTTATGTGTATTGCCACGTCAGCATTTACAGGGCCAAAGTAATGATGTGGACTACCACAACGTTTTCCCAAGTCAACAAATCATTTTGCTCTCTTTTTGGGTCAAAATAATGAGAGAGAGATATTGACTTGGAAGACATAAGTAAGCCACATGGACACCAGTATAGCAAATCTAATGTCAAGTTAACAAAAATCATGCTTACATAAGCTAACGGTGTTATAATTTTTCAACCGAAGGAATACATCGAGTGGATTGTTGAAAATTCAAGAACTAGATTGAACAAAAGAAAAAAAAGGTTCAATAAATCTCATTGAACATTGAAGACAAGTTCATGGACCACCCATGGCATTCCATTTTGATATGACTTGAAGCATGCGACTACCTTTGGTAAACTTAATAGGTAATTGCTTATGAATACTAGAGCATTCATATGGTATGATACTAGTGAGCATGTGCGGATCGTTTATATAGTTGACAGATATTGATTATGAGCATCAGGTCATGTTGTCATGATGAGAATTTATTGGAAATGTGTTATGTGTGGAAAGACAATGAAGGAAAGTTTAAGCTCTCTCATCTCTTATGCCTATCATAAGTATGTCAACTACCTGAATTCCTGTTTATGTAATTGCTGTTGCGTCAGAAGTTTTAACAACATTAATTTATGTATCATGACGGCACATGATTGCTAGAGATGCTGCTTAGGGGCTTGAGATCTCGCTTATCTCCCTTCTGTTTGCCTCTGGATTTCTGTAGGTTAACCCCAATTAAATTTGCCTCTTTTATGTGCTTGGATGCATTCTGTCATGCAGCTGTTAAATGAAGTTTGTGGGTTTAATTTTCATATCACTGTATTGCGTGTTCAGCAACATTTAGCATAATTTGATCTTTTTTTATTGCAGTGGTTATGGAATAGCTGCACAGGCATTAACGGCAATAATTAGGGCTTATGATGGTCGTGGGCCCGAAACAAATCTGACTTCCAGCATATTAGAGAAGCTTGGCCTTTCCTCCCCTGATGAATTAATTGGGTATGCTATTAACTAGTGGATGTCATCTTTTTCTTGAGGTTGAATAGTCTAGAAATCTTTAGGAAGATTAAGTAGAATACAGTGAGCATATCTGTTACACTACTACTGTATCACTGTGACCTAACAACAGATTTGTTCCTTTTATATTAGCAAAAACACAAGGAGATTCTTTCCTTTCACCAAAGATAAGAACCGGAATTTTGTACTTTGATTGCACACTTTGCTTGTCGGTGCATCTTTTTCTTCTTTTGTTTTCTCGTATCGCCAAATGTGGTACAAGTTGTTCAAGAGATGATTCATTTTGAGAGGATATTAAAAAATACTGTTGTTTCTAGTGGACTGTTCATTGCAATATAGACTGAGATAACTCTCTGAAATTTGGTTAGTCAGTCTCTGTCTAATTGCAATTCTACTGATTGCTTGTTGTAAAGCATCATTCTATGCATAATCAATAGTTGGTGTTACATTGAGATTCTATCTCTCAACAAATCAGGTGGACCTACGCAGATCCATCTTGGGCTTGCACTGCGGCACTTGTCCCTGTCGTGGTGTCTTGTGCAGAGGCAGGGGATGAAGTCGCTAACAAGATTTTGTTTGAATCTGTCCAAGAGTTGGCTTTAAGTGTGAAAGCTGCTGTTGAAAGACTTCATCTGTGTGGAGAAGGTGAGACACTTCACCATAGAGATATACTTGCACCCATTTTACCCTTCGGTATTTTCTCATTATCATGTGACGTTCAAATTTGACATTGGAAGTTACGATCTTAGGGCTCTTAAACCATGATAATCCTTGAAAGCAAAAGAGTGGAAAATAGTGGAGAGGGAATATTTATCAGCACTAGCACCGATTTAGTAATGATGACTGAATCTTTTACTCCTAAGTTGGGTTGGATGAGCAGATTTTCTACTCCGTACCATCCTATCTACTACCAAATTTCTGAAAGATTCTTAGTCTCAGAGTCTATTGTCAGAGTCTATGTTCTTTGGGCTCCCTCTACCAATTTTGAAGTTAGTTTGACCGTTTAATTGAAAACATCTTTCGGATATACCTATAGACATGTCCAAACACCTCAAACATGTTTACCTAGTCTTAATTTTTTTCTCGTATTGGAAACAATTATCTCCATGCTATGTGATGTGTCTGCAGATATATCTGATCAACTGCATCTCGGATTAATCCATTTTCTATGCATTCTGATATCTAAATGTCTTTCTTTATTTTCTTTTTCTTTTTTTTGGGGGGGGTGTTTCAATAGAATTTCTGGATATATCGACTATATAGAGTTTTATTTTTAGCGCTTTAATGGAGTTCTTGTACTTCAGTGGCATTTTCTAGTCAACTTAGAGTGCTGGTTGATCCTCTTAAATCTTCATACAATTGCATAATAGCCTCAAATTATCAAAATGGCTCATCTTTCGGTTATTCCTTGTTCCTTATTTTCCAATGGCTTTATTTATAGATTTGGTTTACGAAATTTTGTTTGATATGCTCCGGAGATGAATTACTCAAAATAGAAACTCTTAGTTTCAACAATTTTCTTCAATTATAATTTAAGCTTTCCCAAGCACTCTGTACTCTCTTCATGTTCCAATTAGCAAAAACTTCAAACCAGGTAAACTTTGGTACAGTGTACCTCGTGGCTAACAAATATTTTTTTACTGTAATATGATTCTTGATGAATGCCTATGAGGGAATGCAAGAAATTTTCAGCCATTGTTTCGTAAGATGGCAGATATGTCTCGGTGATTATCCCTTGGATATTTTTATCGTGTCGTCGTGATTGATTATGACGGCCATCCGAATCATCTATTGCGATGCAAACTACTATGTGCCTGTTAGACACAGTTGATAAATTACATTAGTTGAAGCATTAATTACTATGGGGAATTTGTATTACATACTCTTGAAAATGCCATTACAGATGGAAAAGATTCTTTCCCCCTTGTCATGGTGGGTGGTGTTCTTGAAGCGAAGAAGAGGGGGGATATTGGCAAAGAAATCATGAACTGCATCTCCAAGGAGTACCCTGGGGCATTTCCTATCAGGCCGAAGGTAAGCATGTCAGTTACTGTTCAACCGATAAGGATGACAATTTCTTTAGGAACATATGGATAATGTGTGTCCACTGGGTAGCATTTCATGATTCTCTCATTCTCGTGACCAGAAATTCATGGCAACATAGAGTGCTTCAGTGATTTATAATGTATCGTCAACCTTAAATTCGCAATCAGTGAAGTTTCAGATAAATAGATAAATAGATATATACATGTAATGTCTGTCTATATATGTATCTAAACAGATCATATATATTTATGCTTCTGTAGGCCTGGCCATATACGTTTGGTACGTGTGACATGTAGGCACATTAAAAGTAATACACGAATACAGATCTTGTGGGTTTCTTTTTTTAAACGGTTGTGGCTATAATGTTGGCTTCTAGCACGCAATGTCTAAAGCATTTTGTATGTTCAAAAAGGTTCTCTGATGGTTGCTTTTACCCGTGACATCTGTGCATTTTGTTTTTACTTGTCCACCGAGATTCTTTCTAGCAAGCATTGATACTGGTGCTTTTGCTATGCATTTTAACTAAGTCTACACTTTGGAACGCAGGTGAAGCCTGCGGTTGGGGCAGCATTGCTGGCTCGGAATTGTTACATGAAAGAATTCTGCAAGGTGCTATAGAAGTCCCATTCTTGAAGATTCGCTAGAGTCGATCCAATTGTACAGTAGGATAACAATGAAGTTTTCTAGCGATGGCAAAACATAAACACCATCAGACAGAGGAAGCAACAGTCTGAAACGAAAACCGGTCCAAGTCTGGCGAAAGGGTTCATGTTCTTTTAGCCACAGACAAATAGGTTCTCTCTCCATTCTTCTCTCTCTCTCTCTCTCTCTCTCTCTCTCTCTCTCTTTCTCTCTCTCTCTCTTTCTCTCTGAGGTTATTTTCTTCAGCAGATAGTTTTTCACTTCTTGGGTGAAAGATGCTGCAACGCTACTGTGAATCCATGAATGGTGAAATGAGTCCGTGTGCTTGTATTTCTTTTTCCATCGATGATTAGTTTCAATGCATATAAGCATCTCTCTTTTCGCCAAAATGACTTGTCGCCATGGCAGAGCATTCTTGCCGAGAATTTCGTTTACCTTGGCAAGTGCACCTGGCCAGCGTTAGCTTTCCGCTTTGTATTTTGCTGTTGACAAATGAGCAGTCACCTACCATCCCTTGCCCTCAACAGGACTCAGCGATAAGTTTGTAAATTCTTGATTCTAAACGGTGGCATCAAAATGACTCGAACCCGAGGTCAGTCTTCTCGGGACCCAAACAATTTATCGTTGTTTCGTTTTCACAGTTTCATTCCCGCGGTCGCTATTCCGAAGTCACTATACAATTTAGCTTTAGGAAAGGAGCAATAAGTGTTGAGAGCACTGTTTTTGGCATCATAATAAATCCATCTGCCAAACCCTAATCACTAGCTCAACGAAATATTCTTTGGGTGATAGTGAAGACCTAGCTAAGGAAATGGTTCCTAAAAGGGGACAATCTTGCATTGAATGCACTACTTTGGGATTCACTTGCTTGGTGGTAAAAATTTGCTCCTAAGTCCTAGTAGATGAGAGCGCTACTCTGGCATTATAGTCATTAATGTAGATCCAACCACCAAACCCTGCTTGCTAGCTTAAACGTATGCTATTTGGGGGAGCAATACCAAATTAAGTAGTTTGTCCTAGAGAGGACCAATTGAATTCACAACTTCCGGATCGATCTACTTGGCGGTAGACTTGCTCTTACTGAATCACCTATGTTCCCTTTGCCTCTTCCTCGTCCTTCTGATTCCTTGGGATTGGGTTTTTGCGCCTCAAGAAGCTTGAGATTTCACGTTCGATCTTCATTTAAGATAGGCTCTTGGAGTCACATTATAACCGACTTCTTAAGGAGATGAATTTAGTTTGATGTGGGAAACCAGACAATGGTACCTATAGAGCAATATACAGAAATGCCTTTTCATTGAACTATGGCTTATTAATCATGTATATTAAGTTAATCTCCTAACCAAGCAAAGATCAACAATATAAAGAAATGCACAAAGGCAATCCAATTAATTTGATTAGAGAGCGATCGAGATCGTGTTACAGTTCCACACTCGAGCATAAAACGCGAAAACGAAACTCGAAACTCAAATGGAGCAACAAAACCACGCAAATCTCAATGCAAAGAAACATAAATTGTTACTCAGAATCAAATTACATGAAATTGAAAAGACATGAAAATTGAAAACATGAACTTGTCAACTTATGAAGTGGTCTGAACTGATTACAAAAACTCCATCGTGACCAAAAACATCAATTGATTTCTCATGCGTCTTTAGTCGTCTACCTATGAACTCGTCTCCTTTTCATTTCTTGCTTCTTCATGCTGATTTTAGACTAATGTTTAGTGTGGTCCTTGAACTTTTAATTTGTTTGATGTGATCCTTGAACTTTTGATACATATTTAATGTAGTCCTTGAACTATATGAAAATGTTCAATGTAGTCTCTAAGATTGTATTGAACATTTTCATATAGTTCAATGACTAAATTGAACATGTAACAAAAGTTCAGAGACCACATCGAACAACTTAAAAGTTCAGGGACCATGTTGCACATTTGGGTTAAAGTTCAAGGATCACATTGAATAAATCAAAAGTTCAGGGACTACATTGCACATTAAGCCAAAGTTCATGGACTATTTGTGTCATTTTCCTTTTTTTTTTTCTACCAAGTCTGGCGAGGGTCGCCGACCAACCCTCGTTGGTCACAAACGAGGGCCAGTTGACCCTCATCGATCATAGGCGAGGGTTACCTGACCTTGCTGGTCATTGGGCAAGGGCCGCGAGTCCTCGCTGGTCGCTGGCCATGCCACGTAAGGCTGCTGGCGTCCACGTCAGCGATTTCCAATTAAAATTAGACGGATGAACTCAATTGGCAAAAGTGAAAATAATTATGACTCAATTGGTAAATTGAAAGGTTTATAACTGGATTGGTCAAAGTGCAATATGTTTATAACTTTTTGAACAATTTTCCAATTCTCTCGTTAATTTAGGAAGTGCTAACAAGACAAGTAGTGGGTTTCTAGGGTTTGGTCAACTAATGATCTATTTATCTTTATTTCCATATTGAGATCGTCTATATATCATCAACTTTTCTTTAAAAAATAAAACAAAATGAGATAATGATACAAATGATCCCTAAACTTTGCCCAATATGCAATATCATCCATAAACTTTTAATTTGTTCAATGTGATCCATGAACTTTAGTTCATATGTAATGTATGTTCAATATGGTTCTTGAACTTTTGAAAAATGTTAAATATAATCCTTAGACTATATGAAAATATCAAATGTTATTCTTCCATTAATTTAAGTCCAACAACAACATTTAATATTTTCATATAGTTCGAGGACTAAATTGAACATGTACCAAAATTCAAGGATCATATTGAATAAATTGAAAGTTTAGAAATAGCATTGCAAATCAAGGTAAAATTATACATTAAGCTAAAGTTTAGGGACAACATTATACATTAAGCTAAAGTTTAAGGACTACTTATGTCATTTTCCTAAACAAAATTAGATGGTGACCAATTTGACCCAAATAATCACATGAAACCCTAATTCTCAAACTGACCAAAATCTTGTCCATGTCTCGTTTACGAAAGGCCAATTGAACCCCAAATGGTGAGGACCTCATCAATTTCCTTTATTACATGATTAATTTCGTTTCAAAAAGAGATATTGGTATTTACAATTGGTGAGTCCGGGACAAGCTTTCTTCAGTACTTATTTTAGTTAAAAATAAATTCACATCATTACAAAATAACCTCCAATAATTTTGAATATTTGAAAGACGCGTGGTTTTAAAGATTTTTAGAGGTTCCCTTGTCAAGAAAAAACAATGGTTCTTGTCCATGTCTCAATTATTAAAGGTCAAGTCAAACCTAGATGGTAAGGACCTCACTAATTTCCTTTTCAAAAGATTATTCCCGTTTGAGAAAGAGATATTGTTATGTAAAACTTATTTTAATTCAAAAAACTTTTAAATTATTGTGAATAAAAAACTCAAATTATTCTGAATATTTGACAGTCGCGTGATTTCAAAGATTTTAGAGGTTCCATATATCAAGAGAGGTTCAAATCCCAATCAAGGAAAAACGATGATTATTATATGTCGCAAGACAAGCTCTAATTACCCAATTGCAAGAACAGTTGAAACGGTATAAATTGCAACCTTTTTCTTAATTTAAATACTTGGACAGGAGCTACCTAACTAATTCTTGAGAAGAAGTAGTCAAAGAGAAGCTGACCATTTCATTAATCTGACCAAGGACTTCTAAGGTTGAAGAGAGCCTCCACTGATCAAGATGTCAAATCGACAACGCAAAAAGCCGAAAAATTCAATTTGGATAATGACGTTTTTAGACCAAATAAAAAGAAGAAAAAAAGCGAAAACAACCAAAATAGTGGCGTCCATATCAAGGAAGGTTTTAATGCACGCATGCCACCCCTCTTCACCTGCTCCCATTTAATTGACCCCATGCTCATTAATTGCGTATGCTCCTGTCTTTTTCTCTATATCCACCATCACAAAAGAAAGTCGTGTATGCATTCGGAGCATGTGGGCTGAAAACCACGAAAATTCAAATTTAGGGATAACACAAAGAAGCAAAAAGAGAGTCAATGTGGCCTTTTTGCATCGTTCGTTTATATCCCGATTTTCGACTAACATCGTTTTTTATTCATCAGATTAGTACGATAGTTAGGTCGAAATCGTTTCATTTTGGAGTGAAGCTCCCTCGTCCATCATAAATAATGACGGGAGTCAAAGAGTAGCTTTATGTCGCGTGAACGATTCACGGGACATCATTGATATTAGGGTTCTTGCTTTCCTTTGATCAAATTGACATATTGTGCGAGTATCGCAATGGCATAAGCATGATATACATATTAATATATAATTATATGTATTATGGGGTATTTATGTAATTATGTTTATATGTGTACCATTTCTGTAATTAGTCACTCCTATAAATACATATCATACAACCCTAATTAGGGTTGAGCCACCATAAATACTTTGTCGTTGTTTTCTCTCGACTCTAAACATCAACATGGTATCAGAGCAGGAAAACGAATCGAATTCTTCAACATCCCTACCCCAAATCAACACTTCCTTTGCTCCAATTACTATCTCAACAATGTCCAATACATCTCTAAATTTTTCTTCTTCTCTACCATCTCTTTACCCACCATCTTCTTTTTCTGTTAATCCCAATTTCCCATCGCCTCCCGATAATATTGCGCCCACTTTCCCCTCTTCTTCACTCTTCACTGCTTTCTCCGATCTCTCGCTGCTACTCAAATTACTGCTGTGCAATCATCCTCGTCGTCGCTTGTTCTTCCCAACATCACAAGTCTCGTCTCCATCAAACTCGATGCGGATAATTATCTTCGTGGAAATCTCGTTTCAATCTATTTTAATCAGAACGATCTGCCGGGCTATGTGGATGGTTCTTTTCCATGTCCGCCGAAGCTTATCAATGATCATACCGGCACCTGTAGTGGTCAATACTTCCTATTCCACCCGGGTGAAGACAGATCAATGTGTTCGTAGTTTGATCAATTCGACCTCACAGATCGAAATTTTCCGTGAAGTTCACGACCTTCGGACATCTCGGGAGATTTGGCTTGCTCTAGGACAACGTTTTACTTGATCGGCCGCGCGGCCAAGGAAATTGGACTAAAATTGGATTTTCGAATACTGTGAAGAAACCGATCGCCAATGTCGATTATCTCCAAGATTCAAGTCAATTTGCGGACTCTCTCACCGCAATCAATTGCTCCGTCTCGACAAGGACTTGGTGATTCAAGCCCTCAATGGGCTCCCATCCGAGTATGATCCTTTGTCACTATGGTCACAAACGGCCCTACAATTCTCTCTTTCGGTGATCTGCGGTCACGTCTCCTCATCCAAGAAGAACAATTTCTCCGAAAATCAAAGTGCATCATCTTCATCGATATTCATCATGCTTTGATTGGTCACACCACTTCACCCTCCACCGTTTCGAGGATCTCGAGGTGGACGTAATTCTAGAGGTCGTAGATCCGGTCGGGGACAAAGTGGACGATTCTCGCGTGATAAATCGAATTGGCAATCTTCCTATGATCGGTTCGGTTCGCAATCATTATCGGCTCCCTATGCCTCCTCCACCTCCTCCGGTCGATCTCGTGGTGGTTCGAAGCCTTATGTTCCCCTTTCACACGGGGAGGTATTCTCGGATCTAGGCCTCATCTTACTTGGTCGATATGTAACGGAGTTGGGCATACGCACTACAATGTCGACAACAATTCAACCATGCTTTTACCACTACCGATCTCGGACTGTTCTCAGCTCTCTCGGTTGGTGAGACCTCGATTCATCTTGGTATCTTGACAGTGGAGCGTCGGCACACATGACTAGTGATATTGGTAATATCCTAAATCCTAGACCTTTTTACGATTTGACAAAAGTCTCGGTTGGTGATGGTCGTTTATTGCCTGTTAAGCAAGTCGGTAAAGCCTTTTTACATACTGGTTCTCGATCTTTATTATTATCTCCCGTCTATCATGTTCCTAATCTTGCTCGCAATCTTCTCTCCGTTGCTCAACTTTGCCATAAAAATTCTTGTGCCATTGATTTTAATGGTTCATCCTTTTCTTTGAAGGACAAACAAACCGGGAAAGTTCTCCTCCAAGCTTATTCTTCTCATGGTCTTTATCCGATTTCCAACTCAATGGTGTCATCTCGTCGCATCCTATCGTGGCTTCCTCTCGCTTCACTCACTGCGGGCATGCTCTGTCTTGGCCATCCAAATAAACAAGTTTTGAGTCGTGTTTGCAATTCTAGTTCTAAGTTGATATCATGTGAGTCCTGTCTTGTAGGCAAGTCTCATCGATTGCCTTTTGAGTCTGTTAGTCATCGTGCATCTTTTCCTTTAGTTGTAATTCATTCTGATGTATGGACGAGTCCAATTTTTCTCTAATTCTGGTTTCAAATATTTTGTGTTATTCATTGATGATTATTCTCGGTTCACTTGGGCATTTCCCATGAAAAATAAATCTGAAGTGCCTACACACTTTCATCGCTTTCGTTGTTTTATCGAAAATCTGTGCAATGCCAAAATTAAACTTTTACAAACCGATGGGGAGGTGAATATACCAGCAATGCGTTTCAAACATACTTACGTGAAAATGGTATTATTCAACGTTTTTTTGTCCACAAACCCCATCTCAAAATGGTTTATCCGAACGCAAAATCAGACACTTAGTTGAAATGTCTCGAACCTTATTAATCCATGCTCATATGCCTTCTTCATATTGGGTCGATGCTCTTCTCACCGCTGTTTACACCATTAATCGACTTCCCACTCCCCTGTCATATCTAATATTTCTCCTTTCCACTGTTTATTTGGGTTCAAGTTTGATTACTCGTTCTTTCGGGTTTTGGGTGTGCTTGTTATCCTTTTCTTCCGTCTCGTGTCTCTCATAAGCTGGCACCTCATTCTCGTGCCATGTGTATTTTTTGGGTACGCGTCAAATCACAAAGGCTATCGTTGCCTTGATCGGTCAAGTGGTCGTGTTTTTATCGGTCGTCATGTTCGGTTTGATGAGGAGAATTTTCCCTTTTCAACAAAATCTTCAAATCATAGTCCCATACCCCACTGTTCTACATCACCTTCTTCACTTTTTGTTTACTCCAATCAATCTATTCTTCCTTCTACTTCCTTTGGCCCTCAAATTTCTCATCCGCCTCTTTTTTCTTCTCAAGCCCAACCTCCTAATTTGCCTCTCTCCTCCTCTCGAACTACCGAATCTACTTCCAATTCTTTTTCACCTCCACCTCCCCTCTCTCCGAACTCAGTCACTATGTCTCAACCTCACTCCTCTCCCGACAAAATTCCTCCCATAATGAGACCGCAAATCCCCTCTACATCTCTATCCGAGATCTACCACTTCCATTTCCTTTCTTCCGACTCATCCTATGCGGACTCGTGCCAAATCTGGAATTTCTAAACAGAGAAAATTTTTAATCTCTCTCATTCTTTTCATGACGAGACACCGACTTGCTATTCTAAGGCTATTCTTGACTCTCGTTGGAAAGCGGCCATGGCGATGAATTTAATGCCTTGGTCGCCAATCACACGTGGGATCTTGTACCACCGATCCTTCTAAGAATTTAGTCGGTTGTAAATGGGTTTTTAAGATTAAGGAAAAATCGATGGAACTGTGGAACGCTTCAAAGCTCGCCGGGGATTTAAGCGACAAGGCTGTTGGACTATGACGAGACTTTTAGCCCGGTCGTTAAACCCACTACAATTCGGGTTGTTCTCTCTATTGCAATTTGCTCGGGATGGGCCATACGTCAACTTGATGTCAAGAATGCCTTCTTACACGGCATCCTTTGTGAGGAAGTTTACATGCGCCAACCTCCCGGTTTCTCTCATCCCGAATTCCTGAATCATGTGTTCTGTCTAAAGCCATCTACGTTTAAAACAAGCTCCACTTGCATGGTTTCATCGCTTCAAAGAGTTTTATTATCTTTGGGCTTCATGGCGAGTAAGGCCAATCCTTCATTATTCGTCTATGCTTCTTCTCGGGCCGTGTGTATCTCCCGCCGTATGTTGATGATATCCTTGTCACGGTGATACTCCCGAGTTATTACGGTCTTTGATTACTCGACTCTCACAGAATTTGCTATGAAGGATCTTGGACCACTTCACTATTTCCTAGGCATTGAGGCTCTTCACCGCTCCGACTGTACGCTTTTATCTCAAGCCAAGTATGTTGATAGTCTTTTGCGCAAGTTTGACCTTGTTAAGGTCAAGCCGTATCTACTCCTCTAGCCTCGAAGACTCTATTGTCTCGCTAATGATGGTGAGGTTCTCGCTTCTCCGACGTTGTATCGACAAATGGTTGGTGCTCTACAAGTATGTATCTATGACCGGACGTATATTAGTTTTTCTTAATTTGGTTAGTCAATTCATGCATCAACCACGATTACCTCATCTCCAGGCCGTCAAACGTATATACCGATATTTGGCTGGCACCTCCACCCATGGCTTGCTCATTGAGCGGGGTTCTCCCACTTCCTTGACTACTTATGCGGATGCGATTGGGCTGGATGCTCCGATACTAGACGGTCCACCTCGGGTTTTGTGTTTTCTAGGCACCAATCTTGTTTCATGGAGTGCCAAGAAGCAACCCACCGTGGCCCGTTCTAGTACAGAGGCCGAGTATCGTCTTGTCGCTCACTGTGTTGCCGAGACTATTTGGATTCGTCATTTACTTCGTGAGCTTGGGTCCTCCTTTATAATCCTCTCACCGTTTATTGTGACAACATCTCTGCCACCTATCTTGCTATCAATCCTGTGTTTCATGCTCGCACCAAACACATTGAGTTGGATTACCATTTTGTTCGAGAACGGGTTGCTTAGGAGATCTCCATGTTCGCTACGTGCCTACAATGATCAATTGGCGAGATATCTTCACCAAGGGACTACCTAGTCCGCGTCACGCGTTATTAAGATCCAATCTCTCGTTGTTACACCTACTTCGGATTGAGGGGAGTATTAATATATAATTATATGTATTATGGGGTATTTATGTAATTATGTTTATATGTGTACCATTTCTCGTAATTAGTCACTCCTATAAATACATATCATACAACCCTAATTAGGGTTGAGCACCATAAACACTTTGTCGTTGTTTTCTCTCGACTCTAAACATCAACAATACATTCTCGAGAACTATAGATAGAGATGATCGGGAATTCTAAGAGGTTAGTCGAGCGATAAAGTCATCTAAAGCCTTATCTCTTTAGAAGCGTAAGGGATCTCGTATTTGGTTCTTACTCGACACAATATTTCAAGGCCGATATGGATAGAACTCCTCGTGGGGTTGTGGGCAATTTATCTTGGACCAAATTGGGAAGGTGCGGCGGTCAATTTGTCGCGCGAAAATGCTTGCTTTGTACGCCGGCTATACCTAAAACAAGAAATATTCAAGCCAGCCTTCGCTTACACATTCTTCTCTCCAGGCTTTTGGTGGAGAGATGGCCGGAGGAAATTTATGTTACGGATGTTTCTTGGATCGTGACCGTGATGAAAAAGTCCTTGGTGAGAACTAACGAGAGAGAGGTTTGGAAGAAGAATAGTCAAATGATTGAGGATGAGTTCATTTACTTTTGGGAAAACACCACTAAAAACTTCAAATTATATCACTTATAATAAATTTACCATGAACTTTTTTTTTGCGATACGAAAAACAATTTCGATTATATGTATTTTTCTCTTCCCTTCGCTGGCGCGGCGGAAGGAAGAAAAAAAAAAAAAAAGAAAAAAATGTTGTTGAAAAAGTATTATGGGATAAATGTATCATTAGTGACATAATTTGATATTTTTCGTGTCGAAAAAAAAAATTTATGATAAATTTATTATAAATGGGATAGTTTGAGAATTTTGGTGATATTTCTCCTCTACTTTTTACACAAGCCAAAACAAAAGGAAAGAAAGAAAGAAATCAATCATTAAACACAGACCCAACAAGCAGAAGAGAGAAAAAAATCCGAAGCTTGTCCCATAGCTTCCTCCCTCCTTTCTGGTTGACTTTGAACAAGATATTTTTTGACACAGTATTCAACAAACCCCGCCACTTCATTGTTCACGCACCCAGATTGTCCTAAAAAGTAGAATCTTCTTCGAGTGTGTTCTAAACTGATAGGCCTAACGCAGTCTTGAACCAGCCTTGCTACCTGTTTTGATATTGGGTCAGAACGATATGTATTAAGATGGTTTTGAATGAGAAGATGCAGAGTTTTCAATTGGGAAAAGGAACGAGAGGTGGCAGAGACATGGCGAGCAAGAACCTCCGGTTGCTGTTGTTTCTGGTTCTCCTCTGTTCTTGGATTCATTTGATTTGCTCTACTACAAACACGGATGACCGTAAGTGCACACGCATGTATTTGTTTATGTATGTTGCTATGCTCTACGAATTTCTCGTCATTCATGTTCTTTCTTTCCATCTGTACTTCTTTTGGGTTCATCTTGTCCTGGCTTGGGGATGGTGCGAGAAAAAAGGTAGCTAGTCATCAAAACAGCTTGTTTTTTTTTTCTTTTGTTAAGGTTTCAGGGACTTAAGCTGTCTGTCTGGAACTTAGAAGTCCTCGGGTTTTTAAGGTTTTGGCTTGTCTGGCGAGACGTCAACATGTTATGTTATTGGAACCAGGAAAGGGCTACTTTGGGTCTCTTTGAGCCCAGACGATCATCTGGATTTTGTTATGTACTTGAGAGGACATGCTTAGTTTCGCAGGTCTTTCTCGTCTTAAATTGTCCCTGGACTCTTGATCAACAAGGACTATATACTCTTCGCTATGTGCTTTGGGATTGAGTCATTCAAGCCTTGGTATAACTCCTCGAAGGAAGAACTGACATAGGTGCAAGAAAGAGGTCTCCCACTGTGTTGTTAAACTTGGATTCAATTATATATGTTATTCGCTCAAGAGGATTTCGGCAACGTGATAAATAGAGATTAGATGCGCAAGTATAGAAATTGAAGCATCCAATGGTTATTGTCGCGGATGTTGTCTTAGCCGTCCATGCAGTCAATTCAATTATCTGCTCCGAGGCAATACAGAACATAAAATATTTAGCCCTATTTGAACATGTTGGTCTTTTTCTGCCTAGTAGATCTGGAACTAAGCTTGTTAATTCTAGAGTTCTGAAATTTCGTAATCATCTCTGAACAAACAATAAGTTCTGGCATTGACCATGACAGGAACGCAGAGTGTTAAATTTAGTGAGAGAAAGGAAAAGGCAAACTGTCCATCTGCATCCATCCTTGAATACTTACTTACTCAAGCAATAGAACAAAAATACCGTTGCTAAAACAATGGTAAGATCAGTGGGAAGTCTGCACTTATAATAACTGTGAAAAAAGTGCATTCCCAGATTTTAGCGGATGTGGCTGTCTCAACAATTAGCAGTTCTACCCAACTGCTGCAGCCATCAGAAAGCTTTTAGTACAGGATGACACCATGTCTCTTGCAATTTGAAAGTTTTTCTTTAAAAATCTTGCATCGACAATGGATCTCGTGAGGCTTGAATCTGCATTTGACCTTGTTGGCTTGTGGCCAAGGCAAAATCTGTTCCCTATCGCATCTTAAAATTTCACTCCTTTTCTTTTTTGCCATATAATTGTGCAGTAACCGTTCTTTCAGCCCTGAAAGCCCAGTGGCAGAGCACACCACCCAATTGGGGCAAGTCCAATGATCCTTGTGGACTGCCTTGGGATGGAGTCACCTGCGACAATGATTCAAGAGTGACCGGATTGTGAGTGCTCTCTACTTGTTCTCATTAGTGCACATTTCTGTTCCCAGTTTGTAGAATTTTGTCTTTCTTTTTCAAACTCAGTGATGCCATTTTAGCCAGCCATTGACTGTGATATTTTCCTTTTGTTATGCCTTTGACAGAAAGTTATCTGGCATGAATATCAAAGGGCAGCTGCACAGCGAAATAGTGGGGCTCACGGAACTCACTTCTTTGTGAGTTTCTCCTCTTTTCTATCATCCGTCATGATCATATGCTGATTCTTAGATGTGTATAAGGATTGCATAAATGAAGTATTTTTTTTTTTGGGTCAACAAACGAAGTACTTCAAAGCATTGTGTTTGATCATCAAGTATCATATGAACGAGTCTACTTATTTGTACCATTGAACCTTTGAACTGCAGGGATCTTTCCTTAAACAAGGGTCTCAATGGATCGATCCCTCCACAGTTGGGAAGTCTACAGAACTTGACTATCTTGTAATATCCCTTTTGACTGCATATATTGCTAAATCAGCTTGTTTTTCCCTTTTCTCTCGTGTATAAGCCTTGATCTTTCGAAATGTTCAGAATTTTAGCTGGATCTAGCTTCAGTGGTAGCATTCCTGATGAACTGAGCAACCTTACAGAGCTGACTTTCTTGTAAGGCTTGTCAAAATGCGAATGCCACTAATTCGATGATTATGGAAGTTTAGCTATATGGTTTGCTTAGACTTTCGAATTTCCATTCTTACCAGGGCACTAAATAACAACAGTTTTAGCGGTAATATACCTGCTTCTTTGGGTAAACTCTCTAAACTCTACTGGTTTGATGTGTCGGAAAATCAGTTAATTGGATCACTACCAGTTTCGACGGGCACCACCCCAGGGTTGGACCTTTTGTTGAAGTGTAATCACTTGTAAGTTCTCTACAATAGTCCTGCACCTAGTGTGAGCAATATAGACAAGGATCTTTTTATTCCAGATTCTACTGATAAGTGACACAATCTTTATGTTCTTTCGTCATTAACTGTTTGGAATGTGTTGCATCCGTAATTTCAGCCACTTCAGCATGAACCAACTGTCCGGCACCATACCAGATAAACTGTTCAGTTCAAACATGTCTCTGAAACACATGTAGGTTACCAATTTTCTCACTTCATATAATATACCAAGCTTTCTGCTCTAACTTGCGCTGACTATCATTGACAGATTATTTGATCATAACCAATTTATTGGTTCTATGCCATCCACAGTAGGCGTTGTTCATACGCTCGAGGTTCTGTGAGTAACTCTCTTAATGTTTGTTTTGTGCTTTGGGATATTTAATTATCAACCATTGGCACCTATTAAATTTATTTGGACTCACATTGCACAATATGCCACAGCCGACTCGATAGGAACTCCTTTTCTGGAAGCGTCCCTCCAACTCTCAACAACCTTACACAACTCAGTGAACTGTGAGTATAGATTTCTTCGTCAATGGTATTTTAGTGAGATCATAAAAAATCTTCCCTCATTCTGCTGAGTTTCCTTCAGGAATTTAGCATATAATGGGTTGAACGGTTCTTTGCCAAACTTAACGGGGATGAATTTTCTCAGTTACATGTGAGTAACAAACCCTGGCTTTGTCTCTCCCTCATGATATCACATGGCTAATCCCACTGGTTGGTTGGCCGGGCAAAATTGTACCTTTGCAGTGACCTCAGCAACAACTCTTTTACGGCTTCGGCAGCTCCAGATTGGTTCTCAACTTTATCATCTCTCAACACTCTGTAAGATTTCTCAGTGCAATTGGTACAATGAAAAGTTGTATGGCTTTTCGAAACTAGTGTGCGACCTCAAATTTATCTCACTATGACCAGAATCATACAATATGGACCGCTTCAAGGGACAGTACCACCAAACCTCTTTGGCCTTCCCCAGCTGGAGCATGTGTAAGGAGAAAATATTTCTAATTTGTGTCCTCTCTCTTTTACCATTTTGATGATTTTTCGAACTTCTACAGTGATATGAGAAATAATGCTTTCAACGGAACGCTGAACATGGGTACCAGTGTCAGTCCCAATTTGCAGCTCGTTAATTTGGAAGATAACCAGATTGAAGCGCTGACGACCAGTCCCTACAACAATTCATTAGTGTGAGACAGACAGTTCACAGGCGTTAGACTTCAATTATGAGATATGGTAGACATTATGATGCTAATCATTTGTTTTCTTTTTCTTTTTCTTTTTTGCTTCAGACTAATGGGAAACCCGGCATGTACTAATGCCCCTGTTCTCTCAACCTGGGGGTACTGCGGCATTAAGCCGCCACAAGCTTATTCTACCCTAATAGACTGCAGAGGTGCATTGTGTCCCTCAGATCGGAAGCTTAACCCTGGAAGCTGCAAGTGCGCACTTCCGTACGAAGGAAAATTGACATTTAAAGCTCCATCATTTAGCGATTTGTCCAATGACACTCTGTTTCAATTGTTGGAAGTAGACCTGTGGCATGCAGTGAACCTAACTGAAAATTCAGTTTCTCTTCAAAATATCATCTTTGATAATAGCAGCAGCAATCTTATAGTACCTGTGTCTTTCTTTCCATCTGATGGGACGTACTTCAGTAGGTCAGTCATTGCAAGGATCGGATTCGTTTTGAGTAACCATACTTTTCAGCAGCTCCCAGTTTTAGGCCCCTATACCTTCAGCGCACTTCCTTACCCATACCCAGGTATGTCAATTTCATCCTCTCATGTATCGGGTTTGACTATTATTCATATCCGTTTTGACATGAACAACCGATCCAGCTGGCGGAATACGCATCAGCATCGGCATCATGGTAGGGATTGCCGTTGGATGCTCAGTCCTGGTTCTTGGACTTGTGTGGTTAGCAATATACGCTAACAAACAGAAGAAAAGAGCACAAAGAGCAACGGAATTGAGCAAACCATTTGGTAATTAATGCATGAACTCTTCATCTTTATGCTACTGAAGCACTTTGACAAGATGAATGCTGAGATCATTGAAAACGAGTAAACTAATTAAGTTGTTGTCTCACTCGCATCATCTACCCATGTTTAAGCATCCTGGATATCGAGGGGAAGCGATGGCGGAGGAGCACCACAGTTGAAGGGGGCAAGGTGGTTCTATTTCGACGAAATCCAGAAGTGCACCAATGGTTTTTCTGAAAGTAATGAGATAGGCTCCGGGGGCTATGGAAGGGTAAAAATCACGCGCTGCACCGATTGTATGTAAATTATAATAAGCTCCATATCACTGCTTTGTAATTCTTTTTCACGATCTGATAGGTCTACAAAGGAATGCTTCCCGATGGCCATATCTTGGCAATCAAGAGAGCTCAGCAGGGTTCAATGCAGGGCGTGCACGAGTTCAAGACGGAAATCGAGCTACTTTCGCGAGTTCATCACAAGAATCTCGTCGGCCTCGTCGGCTTCTGTTACGAACAAGGAGAGCAGATGTTGGTCTATGACTATATGCCTAATGGGACACTTAGGGAGAGCTTGTCGGGTACTTTCCTTTGCCTAAATCACATCGAGCTTTGAGATCTCTAGATTCCATATAAAACTTTCACTATCATGCTTTGTCCTCGTCTCGTTATTTGTAGCGTAAGTGCGAGCAAGACTTTTCTGGTGAACGAAACTGCCTATTGTTTGTAGCAACGGACACTGAAAATTAATGATGCAGGGAAAACTGGCATACATCTTGATTGGCAGAGGAGGCTGCGGATCGCTCTCGGCTCGGCGAAAGGACTGGCATATCTGCACGAACTCGCTAATCCCCCGATAATTCACAGAGACGTGAAGTCCACTAATATCTTGTTGGATGAAAATTTGGTGGCTAAAGTCGCAGACTTTGGCTTGTCTAAAATGGTGGCGGACAGCGAGAAAGGACATGTTTCAACACACGTCAAGGGCACAATGGTATGGTATACTCCTTTTTGAATGTCCAGTTTAGGCGACAGAGGCGGGCAACGAGATCTTAACCGAATGATAAACTCTAGTTTTTCATCGAACTCCAACTGATGTTAAGTTCCCCTTAGTCTTTCCCGAAACTTGAGCAGACGATATGTTAATGCAACAGGTTACCCACAGATAGGTGAACTGAAGTGTATGCTTTCCTGGTATCGAGTTTTGATTGTTCGTAACTTGTGATCTGGCAGGGCTATTTGGATCCAGAGTACTTCATGACCCAGTTACTAACAGACAGGAGCGACGTCTACAGTTTCGGGGTCCTCATGCTTGAACTGATAACTGCGAAGCCACCGCTCAGCAAGGGCAATTACATTGTCCGCGATGTCCGCATGGCGATGGACAAAAGCGATCGAGACTACTACGGACTAAGGCAAGTCATGGATCCGTCCCTTCTCGACATGGGGCATCTCGAAGGGTTCACATGGTTCGTGGAGTTAGCAATGCGATGCGTCGAGGAATCATCCATCAACCGTCCCAGGATGAATGAAGTGGTGAAGGAAATCGAGGCAATCCTGCAAGCCGATGCGATAGCCATAAGCACGACGTCTGCGTCCTCGTCGGCCACAGACTTTGGAGCGTCTCATAATGGTGCTCCTAGACATCCTTTGTACACTGATGTTTCATCCCATGGTAAGGATGTTAGTTACAGCAATTCGTTCGATTACAGCGGCGGGTACGCGCTTTCGACGAAGATCGAACCGAAGTAAATGTCCATCACACGAGTTGATTATTTGATTCATCAAATTAGTACTGTATTTAGCTCGAATTTGTTCCATTTTGAGGTGAAGTTCCTGTATATGAGGATGGGAGATTGTATAGTAATTTTGTGTCACGTGATCCATACCTGAGACATCACTAATATCGGGGTACCTTTTTTGGTCCCTTGATCAAATTGATGATGCTACATCAACAATCTGTATGAGTATTGCAATAGCATAAATATGATATACATTCTCAAGAATCATAAATGGAAATGATCGGCGATTCAAGAGGCTAGCCAAGTGAGAAAGTCATTGAAAACCCTAGGTCTCCTACGGCGCGGGAGGTCTTGTTGAGTTGTTATTCACACAACATTTCAAGGCCAACAAGGATTAAATTCCTCGTGGCGTCGTGGACTATCTATCTTTACCAAATCGGGGAGGTATGGCAATCGATTTGTCTATATATCAATTTTTTTAATAAAATATAATAAAATTGGTTGGTGACCAATTTGGTCGGAATAATCACTTAAAACCCTAATTCTCAAACTGACCAAGATCTTGTCCATGTGTCATTTATGAAAGGTCAACTCAAGCCTAAATGGTGAGGATCTCATTAATTTCCATTTTAAAAAATTCATTTCATTTCAAAAGGAGATATTATTACTTAAGGTGCATTTGTTGCGTGAAAATTGAATAATTTGAAAAATATATTTTTTAAATGATCGTTTTTTATCGCCTACAAAAATGAATGAACAAAAAATATTTTCATTGTCCACTAAAATGTTTAGACATAAATTATTGTCAATAATAAAAAGGAAAAATTTCAAATCAGTATTCAAAGTAGGGTCATTTTTTCAAAAAAGGGTCAAAAGTAGACATAGTGTCAAATAAGGGTATGAAGTGCCCAATCAGTCTCAAATAGGGCCCCAAAGTGCCCAATTAGTCTCAAGTAAGAGCTTGGGTTCGCTGGCCGGTCAAATGCTCACCGGCCGGTAAGCACGTGACTGTTCCGACGATCGGAACAAGGGTAGTTTCGTCTTTTACTTTTTAATTTTTTTTTGTTTCTTTTTTTCCTTTTTCTATTTTTGTGTTCAAGCTGCATTGCGCACAACCTGGTTTGTGTTTTCATCCGGCATTTTTCATGTGTTGCTGAAATTGGGGTTAATTGGATTCATTTTGTCTGAGCTCTGACCTCAGAAGGGATTTACCCACTTTTTGATGCCAGAGCAGTATATCCGTATTTGGTGTCGAATAACAGAGAAATCCAATTAAACAATAGGCTTTTTGCAATGAGGAGGTGTGTGGATCATAGATGTATGTAAAAGAACAAAGGAGTTTGATTCTTGATCTCAACGTATCATTGTTGAGATGATTTCCATTATATATATAGATATTACAAATGTTACGCTTCGTAAGGAAATAATACAACAATGGAAAATAATAAATGAAAATATCATTATATTACAAGAGTTGTCAATCACTTGATTCTAACATCTTCATGAATCATCTCATGATTTTGATTGATATCTCTAGAATCTCTAGATTCTTCTTCCTTGATTAATAAATCAGTGCCTTTACTGCCCCTCAAATTGGGAATAGGAGAATCCCAAATTCCCAATTTGCGACATAAATTTCCAAATGCATTTCTAGACAAAGGTTTCGTGAAGAGATCAGCAATTTGATGCACAGACGGAACATACTTAGTCTCAAGTGTTCCAAGAGGCACCTTTTCGTGCACGTAATGATAATCTAATTCGATATGTTTAGTTCTTGCATGAAACATTGGATTAATTGACATGTAAAGTGCACTGATATTATCACAAAATAATATTGGTGGACTAGAGAGAAGAATACCCAAATCTCTTAAAAGGAATGATATCCATGTAATCTCTGTAGCTGTCGAGGCCATTGCACGATACTCTGCCTCGGCACTAGATCGAGCAACTGTTTGTTGCTTTTTAGCACTCCATGATATACAGTTGCTACCTAAGAAAGTACAAAATCCAGTAGTCGATCGTCGAGTCAAGTGACAACCTGCCCAATCTGCATCACAAAAAGCATACAAGTCCAAGGTTGACTTGGACAAGATTTGCATGCCTCGATCTATTGTGCTATTGACATAACGTAAAATGCGCTTCACAATTTGAAAATGACCCACAGTAGGTTGATGCATGAATTGACAGAAAAAATTGACTGCATATGAAATATCCGGCCGTGTAATCGTGAGATATTGAAGAGCTCCGACGATACTTCGATATAGCGTAGGATCCGAAAATAGTATTGCATCTGAACTAGATTGAGAACTAGCAGCCATAGGTGTGGAAACTGGTTTGCAGCCCTCCATTTGTGCACGTTTGAGAATTGACAAAGCATATTGTTGTTGGCACAAATAAAGGCCACCAGAGAATATCCTAACCTCCACACCTAGAAAATAGTGTAACGTCCCCATATCCTTCATAGCGAATTCGCTACTCAGTGTAGAGATGAACTTATCAAGCAATTTTGGATCATCACCGGTAACAATCATGTCATCTACATATAAAAGTAGAGCTAGAATGCCATGAGTTGATTTTTGAATAAATAAAGAAGGATCCGCAATGCTACAAAAGAAACCGGATGCCAAAAGAAATGAGTTAAAGCGATCAAACCATGCTCTTGGTGCTTGCTTGAGACCATATAAAGCTCTCTCCAGTTTGCAGACATAAGAAGGGTGATTTTTGTCTTCAAAACCTGGCGGTTGCTCCATATAAACAGGTTGCGATAGAAAACCATATAAGAAGGCATTTTTAACGTCTAATTGTTTGATGGGCCAACCTTTAACAGTAGCAATGGTGAGGACCGTTCTTATACTTTCTGGTCGAACAACTGGTGAGAAAGACTCAAGGAAATCTACTCCTGCTACTTGAGTATATCCCTTGGCGACCAATCTTGCTTTTAATCTTTCTAATGTCCCATCGGCCTTTAACTTAGACTTAAAAACCCATCTACATCCCACAACATTAGTATTTGAAGGATGTGAAACAAGAGTCCAAGTTTTATTCCGATGTAGTGCCTCGAGTTCTTCTTTCATTGCTGCCGACCACCCTGGATGCTTCAAAGCATAACATACATTGTTCGGCTCCTTCGGTATAGAATCCATCATATGTAAATTGGCATATTTTGGATTAGGCTTCACAATACCAGCACGTGCTCGAGTAATCATTGAATGATTTTGAGTGGATGAATGTGCTATTGAAGAATCATGAAGGACATCCATAGAGGAATCTTCATTTTCCAAATTGCATGGAGAACCAAGCGGAGCACTCGATGAGTCACCAATTTCAACATGATTTTGATGAACATGTGTTTCACCTTCCTCAATGTTGTCTTCGTGAGAACTATCATTGGTAGCAGAATTTAATAAGTCATCATGCGGTTGATCAGAGTTAAGAGACAACGCACCTTGTTGCAAGTACAAAGGTGAAATATCCGAGTCTAATGTTGTCGTGTCATGATTTGGCCAGCTTATAAATAAATTCAGATATCTCTACTTTATCACTTTGATCCCGAAATAATGAGCTGGGCACGATATAAGGAAATACTGTCTCATAAAAAAACGATGTGTTGTGATATATAGATTCGACCAGTTGGAGGATAGAGACATCGATATCCCTTATGGCGATCACTATAGCCGAGAAACACGCATGGCAATAACCGAGCATCGAACTTATTTTTGGTGTAGTCCCTAAGATAAGGAAAGCACCTACAACCATGCAAAAACTAGCAAAGAATTATAATCTGGTTTTCTGCCAAATAAAAATTCATAGGGTGATTTCATGCCCAACACCCTTGTAGGAAGCCGATTCAAGAGAAAAACTGTCGTTTGGAAGCCTTCGACCCAATATTTTTTAGGAATTCCACTTTGATGAAGTATAGTCAAGCCAATTTCAAATATGTGCCTATGTTTTCGCTAGGCAACTCCATTCTACTCTGGAGTATTTGGGCAAGATACTTGATTAATAATGCCATTCTTTTGTAAATGAATTAAGAAATCTGCTCGATTGAACTCTCCTCCTCCATCAGATTGAAAGATTTTAATATGCCCTCCAAATTGTCTTTCCAAATATTTCTCAAAATTGAGAAAACATGCATAAAAGTCAGATTTTTGCCACAATAGAAACAACCAAGTATAGCGCGTATAATCATCCACAAAGCAAACATAATACTGAAACCTTTGAAATGAGATTATTGGAGCCTTTCCCCACAAATCACAATGTATCTTTTCAAAAGGCTTAGTAGTACTAGATTTGGAAGGCAAAAAAGGAAGTTTAGATGCTCGACCCATTTGACAACTACTACATATCGCAGTAGGCTTATTCCAAGCAGTAACAATAATATCGCCTTTATTTTGCAGATGACGGATTGTCGTTGGTTGTGGATGTCCCAACCTTTGATGCCATGTGCTTTCATCGCTTTTCGAACCGATTCGAAAATAGTGCTTCTTTTGGCGCCTTCAAGGTATATAGATCACCTTCACGATTTCCATTGTTAGAACCTTTCCCGTTTTCTGTCCTTTATCACAAAACCAGTTGCAGAGAACTCAAAATTTAGAGGATAGTCAGTTATAAATTAGCTCACTGATAATAAATTCTTTTTCATATGAGGAACAAGTAGAACATTTTTTAAGTCAATGCTATTTTGCCCCAAATTGATCTGAGCATCACCGGTATGGGAAATTTTAAGCGAATCACCATTTCCAACCATAACGCTATCTTTCCTAATATATGGTCGTAAGTTGAAAAGGTTGCCTTCATCTCCGGTCATGTGATTTGAAGCTCCAGTATCAGTGAACCATTCTGAATCCTGACTATCTCCAACAGTAAGCGCAGCGAATGCCTTTGGCACAACCGATGGAAGGAAAGATTGATTAAGGGGGTGTTTGGTTCAGCTTTGGGAAGGGGCTTTGAGCCTCGAAAGCCCCTTCCCAAAATGCTGGAGTGTTTGGTTCAGCATTTGGCCTAGCATTGGCCAAATGCTAGCATTCCAAATGCTGAAAGCCCAAGGCTGGTCCGGACCAGCCTTGGGCTTTTAGCATTCCACGAATGCTACTGTTCACTCTTTTTTTTTTTTTTTTTTTTAAAGTTAGGGTTTGAAGCTGCTATTCTTCTTCGGCGAGGGCCGCCGGCAAGGGTGGCTGGCGAGGGAGAAGGGCCGGCGAGGTCGCCTGGGGTCGGGCGACCACCCGGAGCGACGCCGTCGTCAGGGTCGCTCGACCCGGGCCGTTGCCGCTGGGTCGCGCGACCTCAGCGGCCGTCG